TACTGTTATTGTTGTAATAAGCTAGCTAATATTAATAAAGGAAGGAAAGCAAAGGGAAGTCAGACATTGTAAGCATAGTCATCAGGGAAGCTTCACCAGGAAGCTACAGCTTCACACAGCATTGCTCCTCCAAGGGATTAACAGCCCTCCCTTGCCCACTGGAGGCACTGGATTGTTGGAGGGAGACTGGCTCTTGCAGGGGCGGTGCTTGCCTGTCAGTCTAGCCTGGGGAACAAAGGATTGGCTAGGGGATGGACCTCGCCAGAAGCACAGGACATCTTGGAAAGTTAATTGGTTAGTTTGAATAAGGTCCTGGTTAAAATCCCCAGACAAAGAGTTTCCTCTCTATTGCTCTCTTGTTCTCAGTTGCTCGGTGACCCACACTCTCCTGTGGGTGGGGTGTTCTCTCTCCATAGTTATGTAGCCTTAGTAGCCTCGTGGCCAATGGCCATGCAGACTCCACACGCAGCATACCGGATTGGACTGTACTTTAATATGAAACAGAAACTGTGGACAGTGGCCTTTATTCTGGCCCTGCTAAAGACAAAATTGCACTTCTTCCATGGTGAGAGGGACAGAGGTTGGACCTTAGAGAGAAATCCCCCTCAATTTCACACCATCAGTAAGCTCTCCACAAAACCCATCCTCCTGTGGGGGCCTCAAGAAATTCATTTCCTCATGGTACCCCAAGAACTCCACTTCCACTGATAACATTACCACCAAACTTACAGAAATAAAATGATGATTATAAGGCAATATTATCAACAACAGCATGCCGACAAGTTAATAACAAATGGACAACTCTGAGAAAGTTGCAAAATATCACAACAGACTCAAAAAGAAGTAGCACTTCTGAATAGACCAATAACAAGTAAAATCATTGAGCATAACGAGTGTCCTGTTAGCTAAGTTTCAATTGAGGACAGGTCCTTGGAAACTCAGCAATGTGAGTGTGGAGGTGAGATGAAGTGGGTAATTATAATCACTTTTCTAAGGATAATACTGCCCTCAAAATGTTTAAAAACCCTTCCGGAAATTTGGTGTAGATAAATGTTGCAAACAGGTTTGAATTCTGTACAGCCATTAGCTCAGGTGCTAATGTCTACCTAAAGTTCTATGTTGTTGAGAGTGATTCTGAAATATAATCTTAAAATCTTAAAGAAGGGAATGTTCTGTGAATTCCACATCTTTGTCATGGACAGAGAACTAAAGTGGTTCTGACGTCATTGTAATGAGCTAGTTATTAATAATAGGGAAGGAGCAAAGGGAAGGACAGACATTATAAGCATGGTCATCTGGGCAGCTTCACCAGGAAGCTGCAACTTTACTCTCCCCAGGGAACCACTAGTCCATCCCCTGCAGATCATTAGGGGAAGGGACTGGACAAAGAGGAGATGAGCACATGCCGACTGAAGTTGGGGTGACATAGGAAAGTGCTTGCCGCCAGTCAAACCTGGGGACAGAAATCATTGGCCAGGGACTTGGGGGCCACTGCAAGCTGTGAAAATTTGGGAATACATACCCTCCCAAGGAATTCTCTCTCTTGGTGCTCTTGGCAGTTGTGTGGCTCTCTTGCATTCACCCGTTCCCTCCAAACCATGTGGCCCTGGGAATCCCACATGCAATGGGCTAAGGTGCTGCAGCTGGAATCACACACTAAGCTAGCCTGATGCTGGGTTGGACTGTGCCCCAACAAAGAGTGGAAACTCGGGACACTGGCTTTGATCTTAGCCCCACTGAAAGCAAAATGGGACCCTTTCCTTAAGGGGATAGAGGGAAATGAGACCTTGGAAACTCAGAGGTTTGATTCCACAGAAATAAAGCTTTGTACACTACCTCATTCTCCCTCGCGATTCTCAGAAATTTCTTCTTTCTCATGACATCATAAGAAGCTCATGTCCACCAGCAACCGGTGGGAAACCGAGAGCTCCCCACTGATACCAGTACTCTTTTGTGATTCCTGATTCATTTGCTCATTGAGAGGTTAGCTAATATTAAACCAGTGGGTTAAAAAACTAAAAACCCCAAACAACAATTCAGTTCTTATAACTATAGTAAAATAGAAGCAGACCTCACTCCTATAACTCTTCTCACAAGTCAGATGGAGGATGAAACTTTTCCACAAAGAAATCTGAATTTCTCTCCATGAAGTTGAACTAGATAATTCTGTGGTAAATGTTTTTGGCAAAATCAAATCATTTAGGTGACAAGGTATGTTTACACTACTTTCAGTTAGCTGGGATTATTTGAGTAATCAACTCCATTTCATTCTGATCATTTCAATTATTGGTTGCCCGCTATAATGAAAAAAATATATATATACTTTTTTTTTTTTTTTTTTTACAACTAATTACTGGTTGACATTTAAGGCAAAATATCAATGCCTAAGTTTATTATAATGATGTTTTTCCTTTCTTAGTTCTGGGTACTAAGTCATTACATATAATTTATTTTTGCTTACTTTCCTCTTCTCTCATACTTAATTTCTACTTAATTTCTATGAGGCCAGCTCTTCAGAATATGATTCAGATATGAGTAAAATGAAGTCATTGAACAGCACCAGTGAGATAGCTAAAACACATAAAATCCTCTCCAGTCCAGCAATTACTACTTGGTTCCCCTTTAATTTGGGGCATCAAATTTCAACTGATGGTGTATAGATTCAATGAGGAGAGCAAAGCATTGCTAACAACAGACAAGAAAAATAAACACTGCTAATTTGCACACATAATGATAAAGAAAATTATGGGGGGGGACTTGTCTTTTCTCAGAGAAACAGGGAACACCCATTGTTCTACTATGAAAGTAAATGAATTCTGTTGGCCTCCCCATAATTATGCATATAATGAGAATTGGAAAATCAGGAAGATTTCCATGTAGATTCATGACATGGTGCCCTCACTAAGTAGGCAGACAGAAAAAAAATCAACATCAATTAAATGACAATCAAATTTTGATAAGAAGACTCAGTTTTCCAATTTAATGTTAAATAGTGTCTTAGGTACTCTAATTTATATGTATTGTTATATAGAAGTTACAAATTTTTGGTTGAGCAGAAGTAAAAGAACCAGTGTTCTTACTTATATTGAGGAGGAAGAAATGAACCTGCTGGGAGAGCAAGGATCTTGACATAATAAAGTATGCATACATGACATCTATATATATATATATATGTTTACATATAATTCTGAAAAAATATATATTTATTCTGAAATAAATAGCAAATTGAATATTGGCTTGGAGAAAATAGGTTACACTTCCTGTTTTCTCTCTCACCAGCTATGTGACCATGACAGAGCCATTCTTTGGGCATCAAATTAGCAGAGTAGTTTGATTATCCGGATCCACTTCCAGTGGGTATGGTGACAACATTAAAGTACTTATCGATGACATCCACAAACCCCTGAGCATGGAGCAGAGTGGACAAGAATAGACTAACAGGGCTTTTTGCACTTGGAACACTGAAGCAAAACCTCCACTTGATCTAGGACTCTCTCCTCCTCCTCCCTCTCTCTCTCTCTTGAAATCCTCACCAGAGGACATGTTTTGATTGATTTTTAGAGCGAAGGGAAGGGGGAGAGAAACAGAAACATAGACGTGAGAGAGAAACATGGATTGATTGATACCTTCCACCCCATGGGGTGTCGAACCCACGACCCTTTCGAGTATGAGAGGAGGCTGCCACCAGGGATTCTCTCTCTCTCTCTCCCTCTCTGCATCCACCCTCTCTCTCAACATAAAGTCATGTGTTTTGTGCCAGGCACTGGCCTCAATTCTTTTAAGTCTGCAGTATTAACTCATTTAATCTAATACAACAACTATAAGGGCGGCAGGACAATTTCCCCCATTTGATAGCTGGCGAACTGAGGCACCAAGAGGTTAAGGAAATTGCTCAAAGTATAGAGTCTGTACTTTTAACCAATATGCTTTGCTTTCTTTCTTTGTATTTATCCCGTTAAAATGAGTTTGACTGCCAAATAAGATGTGAACTAATGAGAGGAGTGGAAAGGGTTAATGCTAAAGCACATCCGCGAGTTGAAAAAAACAACAACAACAAAAAACAAACTAGCGAGCGAAAGCCTGTTAAAGCCCCCGCAGAATATTCAATGGATCTCCTGTTTCTTTAAACTCTCGCTTTCGCTCCGGATGACACTTTACAAAGCAGCTGTGGCGACTGGACTGCTCTGTCCCGCACCTCCTCCCTCCACCCGCCTTGGGGGTCTGGGGTTCCGAGGGGCTTCGCAGGGTCGCTAACCAAACCCGCTCTGGTTTGCTTTCCTCACACTCCAGCCACTGCCACACCAGCTCTCCCAGGACTGGAGAACTGTGATTAACCCTTTAGCGTCCAGAAAGAACCCCTTCGGCGGGCCGCGATCCCCCGCAGTCCGGCGCGAAGGTGACCCCGGGGCCAGGTGGGTGCTGGCACCGCTGCCGGAGGGCGAGCCAGGTGCAGGGATGGAGCCCCGGCGGCGTGGCCGTGCCTACCGACACTCCCCTCCTGGCTCGCCCTCCTCGCCGCCTCTCCCGGCGCTCGGGGCCGCCGGCTGCCGGGGGCACGCTGGGCTGGAGTTACCCTCTCACTCCCCCTTGCTCTGCTTCCCGGGTTTAATCTCCCGGCGACTCCTCTGCCAGCCCCGAGGAAAGTGCAGCCATTGGACAGGTCGGTGCGAGCTGCCGGTTTCTGGGAGGAAGGTGGGAGAAGGCTGGAGGAGCGAGGGGGAGGGCGGAGGGAGGAGGGAGGAGGGTGCAGCGGCTGCTCTGGCAAATTGTGAGCTGCTTTCCTCCCCAAAGTGTGGAGCAGGAGCGCGGGGGAGCGCGGTGGCGGCGGCGCCTCCTCCGCCACCAAACTCCGGGTTTGGCTGGGCTTGGGGCCACCTCTCCTTAGCCAAGAGGAACGCTCTCCCAATAGGTTTCGGCCTGACTTTTTCTACCTATTTCTTTCTTCTTCCTTTTTTTAAAAAACATTTTCCCCCCTGACTTCGGACCTCAGACTGCTGCAGCCTGAGCCTTCCCAGGGCTCAGCTCTTTGGGGCTGCCCATCCCTCCCGCGGCGAGAAAGGACGCGCGCCCGGCGTTGGGCGAAGAAAAGAAGAAAAACTTGTCGGAGAGGTTTCGCCGGTCCACAGTAACCCCTTTCCGCGAACCCAGACCTCCCGCGGTGGCCATCCCGAGGCAGGGGAAAGTTCCTTCGGATCCGACTGCCCTCTTGGATGTGGAGGAGGCACCCGCGCTGTCTGAGGATTTAGATCTGTTTTGAACCCAGTGGAGCTCATCGCGGGGTCTCCTAAGGCAGCGGGGTGGTGCTGCCTGTGCGGAAGCGAGAGTTTGTGAGCCCAAGCTGCAAGTGGTCTTTCTCCCAGCGGTTGTTGTTTTGTGTCAGTGGTGAGGGCTGCGAGTGTTGTGGCAAGTTGAGAAGAGAGACCCGGAGGTCCGGAGAGGACTGCGCTGCCGCTGCTACTCCCTTCCGTTTCCCGGCTCCCGGGTGTGAAATCCCAGCGAAATTTACAAAGGCCTCGGGGTACGGCGGAGACCTGTCCGCAGCGTTAAGCTCCGTGGACCCCTTTCCCACTGTGAGCCCGGGCGCCGGGGAAGGACTGGCGGGTAGGAGGAGGAGGTGGCGGCGGCGGCATGGCGAGGTTCCCGAGGGCCGACCTGGCTGCTGCAGGAGTTGTGTTACTTTGCCACTTTTTAATGGACCGGTTTCAGTTCGCTGACGGGGAGCCTGGAAACCAAATCAATGGTAAGATGCACTTTCGCTTGTTGATTTTGTGTGCAGCTGAAGACCTCTCTGGCACCCTCATTCCCAACCTACCCCCACATCATCTATCTGCCCCTGGGACAGTTATTGCAGTTGCTTTTCGGGTAAACTTGGGCTTCCCAAATGAGGAGAATAGGGTTGGCTAGCTAAGGATGGAGGGGACCCTGGGTGTTGAGTATTCGGGTTTGCTTCGCCTGAGCGCCAGGGGATGGTACTGACTCCCCTAGGTCGCCCAGAGAGGGCTCTTGTGTAAGAGCAAACCTCCTGTGGATACCTCGCCCAGGATCTGGCATCCCTAGGCTGTCTCATCTCCGGCTCCTCCTCCTTCCCTGCTTCCAGGATAAACTGAGCGAGTGCGTGACGGGGGCAGTGGGTGGAGGACGTGATGGCAGCCGGGGATTGATTGCAGGGCTCCTGTCAGCTGGAGAAAATTACCAGCGGCTGCACCTTTCTCCTCCGGGCAATCCCCGCCGTAGCTCCCTTTCGCCGTCTGGGGCTGAGCGGTGCTGGAAGTGGGACGGGGTAGGTGTGGCAGGACGCAGAAGAGCGTCGGAGGTGGCAGAGGTGGGGCGGCACGCCTCTGGAGACCAAACCCTGGCCCCATTATCCTCCGCCGGCCAGCTTTGCAGACAGGCCTGGGCGTGCCAGGGTTCCTCCGAGTGCCCTGACATTGCCCCGCGCAGCCCCGGCCTCCTCACCCTCCCAGTGGCGGCGCCTCCTGCCCCGGCGCCTGCTCCAGCCCAGGTGCGCGTCCAGCCGGGAGCCGCGCCCCCGGGGCCAGCGCGGAGCCGCGGTGCTGCCCTCGGTCAGCCTGCCGCCGGCGCCCGGGACAGGCGGTGAGGAGCCCGAGGTCCGGCTGCCTCCCGGGACCCTGCCCACTGCCCACCGATGCCTGTCCCCCATTTCTACCCCTCAGGAAGAAAGTGCAGGAACAGGCAGAGAGATCTTGGCAGAAATGTGTGAACTCGGGTGGACTTAGGGAGGAGGCAAAATGAGAAAGAAAGAAAGAAAAAAACACCTGCAGGGAAAAGAAAAGGAAACATTTTTGTTTAGGATAATAAGGTGTTGGTTTGTTTTGTTTTAATTCTGAGGGTGGAGGGCGGGGGCCGGGGTGGGGATGGTAATTCCTCAGAAAGTACACAAGGGTCTGAAAATGTCAGACATGCAAGTGGCAGATGGAAGAAAACTAGGGAGTGGGGGTGGGGGGCACCTGGGGATTCCAGGTGAGGTGAATCTTGCAGGAGGTCCTTGAATGAAATTTGACAAGCTGAAACCCAGAAGACAGCCCACACACTGCTTCTGCCCCAGGTGTAAATTCTTAGCGAAAGCACAGATTCCGCGTTGGAAAGGGGTGTGTGCGTGTATTGGGAGGGCAGGGGCAACATGATGACCACACTTTTAAAACGGAATAAAACGCAGATTTCCTGGATATTGACTTGTCTTTGTCACATGTAATTGTTCTCCATATTCGGACATAGGTTGTTCCTGATTAGGGATAATTTAGATCAGTAGATCATGCCTTCTGTTTATTTCTCTGATACATTCCATTGGTGAAAGAAAAAAATAACACCCCTTTAGGAAGCAATATATTTATTTCAAAAGGTGCAGCAGTAATTTTCATGGACATATTCATGGAATAAAGAAATGCCTGTAAACATGTAAGCAATTTCATTACTGTCAAAGGAGGTCAGAGGGGTGTGTGTGCCAAAATGCATCCCAAGTTGTTTATTTGAAAACTTCTTTGGCACTGGGAGTTAAATACTGCATTTACAGTAAAAAATAAAAGAAAGGTCAGCAATGTTTATTTTTTTCTGAAATTTTTTTCACTAATAATAAAATTCTGAGGACAGAATATATACAATAACCTTATTATTCTAAGTTCTTAAGTTGAAGATGAAATTCATTTCACTCTAAAATTGGTCAGATAATTAAAAACCTTTGTTTTGGGAAATATAAAGTGATGAAATTGTTCAACATCAATGTGCAGCTATTATAATCCAACCCAATATTTTCTGGTGGAAAACTACTCTAGAAACCCATATTTATAGGATTGAGTAAAAAAAAAGTTTTAAATGTCTTAATAAATTTACTTGAAGACTTGTTATAAACTGAAGTAGCTTCTTTTTTGGATATCAGTCTACACATAGTTTTATGAAATAATCCTAAAATTAAATGGCTAGCCTAATGAATGTATAAAATACAGCAATGAAATAGAAGAAAAAATAGTTTCCTTTGTAGACTAGCTAAAAGTTCAACAGTACATAAAAAAGAGTTCAACCGTCTCGAAATTTGGAATGTAGCAATCAGGATTTTTATTACAGACATTTTGGCATGGGGGTGGGGTAAAATCTGATTTCATAACAGGGGTATTTTATTATGCATTACTTTAGCAATGCTGCAGTTGATTTTATTGCCACCAGAGGGCAGAAAAACTGCTATTTTCTTCTGTTCCTATTTTTCCCCAAATCTCTGATTAATGGTCCTCAATATTTTGTTTTTTCTATGTGCAATATTTTTCAGTATTTCAGCTTTTATAGATGATTGGCAATTTACTATAATGAGAGTTTATTATATTTTTGTTTTCATGGAAATTAACTAAAAATTAATTCAACCCCCTACATGTAAAAATACTTACACTTTTAATACATTTTTGAGGTATATAAGTGCAGTGGCATAAAGTAAATACCCTCTTTTGCATTGCTGCTGGAGATTATTAAAAAATTATTATGGAATTCCCAAGAATACAGCTCTAAAATACCTCTCATTAAAAGTTCATTATTGTATAATGAATTTAATGTTAGGATTGAATGTACTTTATGCATATCTGAAAAGTATTTGCTCAACACCAATATTTAGAGGAAAATAAACTTTGAATAATTCTAAACTTTATAAATCTCAAGTCATTTCTATATTATAATACATCCATTTTTATATGCTAAACTGATTGAAAAAGAGTTTAGTAACAATGTCAAAGGAGAAAGATGTATTAATGTGTTGAAAAATTCTAAAATGTAAGTGAAGGGAAAACGTCCTAAAATATGTAGTTGGATTTTGATCTGATTATTACTGTGAAATCTGACTTAATGCAATAAGGAAGTTTATTACCACTATGTAGAGAGAGCATACCTAGTTCAAGACCCACAGGAACTTTGAGTTTTAAACTTGCCAATATTGTTAGGTTCTAGGCACAAGTTGTTTGTTTTTAGTAGGTTATTTACATTTATTTTAGTTGTTTCTCCACTGGATATTTTTCTATTATTTGTCTGCTTTCATTGGGATTACAAAACTTAGGTTGAAACTAATTTGTGGAGTTTGTTATGAGAGTACCCCTGTTGAGACATAGTGTCACTAGTACAAATTTTTTAACTGTTTGTATGTATACCTAGAGCAGAAGACATGGCTCAGATCATTAGACAAATGACGACCATTACTTGTGACTACATACAAAATTTTTTAAAATATGAAATGTGAGCATCTTCTTCCTTTACAGAATAGAGGCAAGTTGAAGCCTGAGGCTGGACAGGTTTGGACTGCGATATCCGTGTGATCTAGAACATTTATGTCAGAGATAAGGATGTCTGCATAGGGATTTTGAATTATTATAGTTAGGACAGTGTGCAATTGGGAAGTGTGATCTCTAGAAACAGGTTCTTATCAAGGAGCATGTGCTTGAGTAAAGGTAATAGGAGATACTCATTTGCTCTAAAGGGTTTCTTCTTTGAAAGAATCATATTCTGTGCAGAGATGTAGACAATGTGGATTCTTTCCAATTCCTTTTGTCCCAGGTTTTTGCTTTCTAAAAGATGTTTACATATGTTCATACAGATGAATGGATTGATCAGCAATCGTGATCATGAGACCTAAAGTCTTGAGCCGTTTCCTTTAAATACTGTCTCTTCACTGTGGCCTTCGAGACCACATGGTCTCAAACTCCTTCCCCACCTCTCTCTCTTCTATGTTTTTTTACACTCTAACCAAATGGAACTCCTTGATGCTCCCTGGGTTTGTATCATGTACGGCTATCTCTTTGCCATTGCTTCTGCTCTTTTTCCCCTAATGCGTCTTCATCTATCCATCTTCTACTTTTTCTTACAGGCTTATAGCAAGTGACACCCTTCACAAAAGGACCGCTGTTTTAGAATCCACAGAGAACCCCATGCCTTGTTTAAGGCCCTTGTTTGACTCTACTTGATATTGTAGAGTATTTTTTCCTTCCCATTTCTGCATCTCTTTCTTACGTTCTCTTAGACCACATCACGTGTTCTTGTGGCCACTGTCTGTGTAATTCATTTCTGAATCCCCTGCAGCATCGACCACCTAGGTATGCATACAGTTACTGAACTCAGTGGAATTATAGTTCAAGCTAGACTGTTGATGTGAATGTCACCTTGGGAGATGTTTTTCTACCTCTTACTCTGTCACTTTTTCCATCAATATGATGGAAATGAATATATAGATGGGCTTCATAGAATAATAGTTTAAAGAACTTACTGCATATAGGCATAACCCATGGACACAGACAATAGAGTGATGAAGGCCTGGGGTGCAGTGGGGGCTGGGTGGAGGGGGGTTGTGGGGGGAAAATGGGGGATGTCTGTAAGACTTTCAACAACAAAAATAAATTTAAAAAATAAAGTGAGAGACTAGGATGCAGAGCTCTGCCCAACTGTTATAATGCATCTGGTCGGTGATATCCCCAACTAAACTTCCTATTCATATATAGAAGTTTCAAAATGTTTATTTCACCATCCTACTAGACTTCTGGTTTCTGACTGAATTTTCTCTCATGTTCTTAATCTAATACCTTAAAGTACAGTGTGTGCATGTGTGTGTTTGTATGTGAAAGGTGTATGTATATAAGCACTCATATATATAGTGTGGTAGTCTAGTTTCAGTGGAGAGGAACACTATTACATAATTTTAGTTCCGTTTGAAATTACTTTTGAACTGAACTCATGACATTAACCTGTACAGAAGAAGGC